TTGTATACGGGCCTTTGCACGGCCACGCTGAGAAGGGCGCGGAGGCGGGAGGATGTCTAGCTTGTGTCGCGGTGCTTGGGAAATTGACAGTGCTGTCCAAATAACGTGCGAAGTGAAGCGGCAGGGAATGTCTCCGGCCTATCGTGACAGCATGTGTTGTGGGTTGTAGCGTCAACGTTGTGCTAGTGCTGTCCGTGAACCGATATCGTCTTCGTGCACGGACGCTCCTTCCTCGTCTTCACCAGACAGGAACCCATGACAAGACTTGCCAGCATCGCGCGCGCAATTGCCGCCAAGCCCGATTGCCTTTGTCGCTATCAACAAGCCACCTGTTCACTGCCTCAGTACTGCATCAAAACAAACTTGCACCCACTCACTGCACTCGGCGTCGCGAAACAACCACCACCACTCGGACCACCTGCACTGACGCGCTTTGTTACGCGGTAGCAGTCAGGCAGACGTCATTGGGCCGCTCGCTTGGGATAATCTTTGCGCCACTTTGGACTGGACGCCAAACCACACAGAATTAGAACGTGGACCTCTCGCCCTTCTCACTGGTCTCGTCGCTCGCTAGCACCCTGGAACCACGCCTGCAGCCCTCCCATCCGCCAGCGCCGTGCTCTGCACGCTAATCTAGAAGATCCGCCCCTGCTGGCCCTCCGCTGTGTCTCCGCCGCGCCCAAACGACCGCATCCTGGCCAACGTCCTGAGCGCCCGCCCGGCAATATCTGCCACCCATCCCGCCACGAGGTGCCTACCTGACGGTCGAATCAATGTCGAGCCCATGTCACCCCAGCCGGACGCCAAAGGAAATACCTCACCCCCCGCATCGGTGAGGTCGAATGCCAGCCATGGACTGCCCACGCCCGACGCCGAGCACGACCAAGTGACGCCCAAGAGCCTCGCGCAGACGGGCCGTTCACGCACCGCGCCCATTGTCAACGAGAGCAACCTCTGGAAGTCGTCAATTGACCGCCCCCAGCTCGATGAGCGCGACAGCATATTCGCAACCACGTACCTAGTCTCCGACAGCCCCATCTCCTCCCCGCGGGCCAGCGCACGCAATGTAGATTCTTCCAACGATGCTCCCGAACACAGTCTGGCTGAGATGGCAGCGCCAGCACCTCCCCAGAGGCGATTGATGGATCCGCCCATCATACGTAGGAAGCATTCTACCCTCCCTCCGCCTTCTTCCATCGACCACCAAGCCGTCCTGACTACCCCCTTTAACCCCCGCGCAGCCATTGCAGCCGGTATGGCTTTCGACGCCATCCATCACAGTCCTCCGCCCTACATGAGCCCAGTCGACTCGCCCGTACAACACCCCTCCACCCCACCACGTCCTGAGCTCCAATACGAGGCTTTGCTGGAGAGCGAAGAGAGGCGCAGGAACAGGGAATGGCGCGAAGGGAAGCCCGTGCCATTTAAGGGCAACATGGTCCTAGACCAGCCCGTCATGGACGTGGAGATGGAAAAGAAGATTGAAGCAACACTTGCCAAGACCGAACAACCCACTTCCGCACGCAGTCGAAAAGCAAGTCACTACCTGCGCGTATTCAAGGATGGCGATCCTACCGAAGAACCGAAGAAGAAGGACAACAAGACAAAAGAGCGTCCTTCTGCTGAGAGGACCCTGTCTGCACTTTCAGAGGAAGGTTCGACCGAGACAGTCGGTCTCATCGACCAGCTGCGTCGCGCATCACTAGCTTCCTCCGTCATACAGTCGCCTCTAGGCGGTCCGACTGAGTCATACTTCGATGCGAAAGCGGCGCCTCGCACCGAGTCAGGCGTTGCCTCTACACCTCCCAACGGAAGCACGCGACCAGACGCAAGTTCTCAGGACAAGCACAAATTCCCACGGCGTCTTCTCGAGGATATTCGCGGCTTCGGCAACCTGACTCCTGGTGCGGACCCACGGTCTTCGTTCTCTCGCAGTCTACCCACATCAGCTGTCGAAAAGGTTCACGCGCACGCACCAACGAATGGAGCGACACCCTATGACGAGCCGTCCGACTACTTTCAGGTTAAAGACGGAGGCAGTAAAGAACGTACGCCAGGCTCAGAGGAGGATGAAGAATCGGAAAAAGAACAGATCTCATCGGCCCTCTACTTTCCCCATCGCCGACTTAAGACAAGTGAGCAAATCCCTACAGAACCACAGAACCGAGATAGAGAGGTGAATGCTGTCGATAAGAGGGCTTCAACTCACGAGGTTGCGGGGCCGAAAGGGTGGGCCACAGAGAAGGATGTTCAAACTCCACAAGAAGTAGAAATTTCTCTAAAGGCCCAAGATACCAATCAATGCCTTCATGGTGATATCTCCACGGCGACTTCCTTGAAGAAAGATAAAGAGCAGCCGCTGACCGCTCCCGATGCGCTTTCAGCTGAATCTGAGTCTGAGTCGCATGCCGAGTCTACTCAATCATATCTTGGTTATGAATCCAGTGCGACTGATGACCTAGGAACGACGCCCACTGCGACTTCGCACAAGCAGGAGGCTAAGGCTGCTGCGCCTCAGGTGGCTCAGCCGCCGGCCCCACTGGGTGCTGTGGAGCTGAAGCCATACGATCACCAAGTTGGCGGTCATTCTACTGTTTACCGTTTCTCTAGGCGAGCGGTATGCAAACAGCTAAACAATCGAGAGAATGAGTTTTACGAAACAGTGGAGCGGCAGCATCCTGAGCTGTTGGAATTCTTGCCAAGGTACGAACTTTCCCCCCGCTATTGATCGAGGCTGAGACATCAGCGAAGATCATTGCCCTCGCCTCGGTTCTTGATCAGGATATTTGCTAACGTGGACATTTTTAAGATACATCGGCGTCTTAAACGTGACCTATCGAAAAGCACCCAAGAAGAAGAAGATAGCCAAAGACAAAGCGAAATCCGACACTGCTCCCACCACTTCTGCGACGCAGTCAGAAAGCGCCTCAAGACAGGCTTCAAAGGCTCCCGAAGATCGGGGCAACGCGGAACAACCTCGAGTGGTCAGCCACTCGCAGCAAATCATGCCCATCCCTCAGGTAATCTTTGAGAACAACCGGCACATCATCCCAGACAATTTGTTTCGCGTGCCACCACGCTCCACCACTCCAGACCCATGGATGCGCAATGCTTCCTTGTTGCAACAACAGCATCGGCGAAACCAAAGTGACTATGGTCACATTTCTACGAGCCCGACTCGGCCCCCACTGCAGCATGCTAGCAGCTGGGGTGTGACGACGATCAACAGAAAGCTACAAGAGGAGGTACTCCGGCAGGTTTTCGCGCCGCCAACCATTCACCATCGGCCGCGCCATCATCACCACGGAATTTCATCTCGTAAGACGGGAGGAGATGTTCCGCAGCACGTTGCTGGCTCTGCGCCTACTATCAGGAGGAACAGCACAGATGTAGCTGGATTGCATCCACCACTCACAGAAGAGTCTACACGGAAACAAGTTCTTAAAGCTGAAGCGCACCGCTTTGCCTCGGAAAGGAGCGCTGATGCCGCCGTTTCCAGCTCTCTTGGACAGCCAGACACCAATGCCGATGCCCTGAAGCCGCCATCGAACAATCTTCCCCGCCGTCGTCATTCTGGCAGCGGACTTACTAGAAGGCCCTTGGGAATAGATACTGTCCAGAGACACAACCTGGAATACTACGAAGAGGATGGTTACGGTGGTGACGCAGAGGAGGAAGTATTTGCTATGGACGAAGATCGCAATGCCATGTCAGACGCAAAAGATCAGCACCGAGGCCGATCTGTGCAAACATCTGGCGCAACAAACGGGGTCCATTTCCAGAAACCATCAGAGGGCACCATGCTACCAGCCCCTGCCACACCAAATGGCAATGGCGCCCCGCTGGGCGAGGAGCCTTCTAATCCCGAACAAGCGCAACAACAACCCGACGAGCGCGTTCAGCACTTCATCCTTCTGGAAGACCTTACCGCAGGCATGTCCAGGCCCTGTGTGTTGGACCTGAAAATGGGCACGCGGCAGTACGGAGTGGAAGCCGATGAGAAGAAACAGAAATCTCAAAGACGCAAGTGTCAGATGACCACCAGTGCCCAGCTCGGCGTACGTGTTTGTGGCATGCAGATCTGGAACGCCAAAACTCAAAGCTACATCTTTGAAGACAAGTATTTTGGCCGCGACTTGAAGGCTGGTAGAGAGTTCCAGGATGCACTGAAGCGATTCTTCTGGGATGGGACAAGCTACAAAGCAGCGACAAGACATATTCCCGTCATATTGGAGAAGATCAGTCAGCTGGAGCGCATGATACGGAAGCTTCCAGGCTATCGGTTCTACGCAAGTAGCTTGTTGATGCTCTACGATCGTGGAGATGGAGAGTCGAAGGAAAAAGACGCGCAACCCTCTCTCCCCAATGGTCTATCAAACCCGAGCAGCGAAGACGTCTCCGTCATAGCGTCTGGACCCACATCACCTGGCCCGACAACCGCCTCCAAACCGACACCTAAGAAACTCCCAGAGATTAAGCTCAAGATTGTCGATTTCGCCAACTGTGTCACCGCAGAAGATCCGCTACCAGACGACTTACCTTGCCCGCCCCAGAACCCAGACGGTATTGATAGAGGCTACCTTCGTGGTCTGCGGTCGCTGCGTCTCTACTTCCAGCGTATCTGGCACGACATCAACGAAGAGTGGGTTGAACGAGGTGAAGGCGAGGGTATGGCACGCAACCATCACCATGGGCCTGGCCTAGGTGAGGTTGGTGCAGGCTGGATGGACGATGCTGGTGGTGAAGATACAGGGTATGCCAGCTTCTAAAGAAGAAGTCGAGCGAAGACAACAGAGCAGCAGAAGAGTCGGTCTCCGGACACGTCTTTCCTCTTTTCCTTTTCCCCGGCGTTTTCGATTTCTACTTATATGTGTTTGGCTTTGGGGATGCAAGCATGGCGTTTTGGCGCATCACGGAAAGACAAAGGTAATGAAATTGGTAACTACTCTGGCATGCATCGGCGCATAGCATTTCGTGGGCGGCAAATCCTTTGCATTGCTTTTCTCATTCTGGGTTTTATCGAGACAGGGCGAGTTTGTGATTTGGAGTCTGGTTGGGTTTCTTGTATATTATCATGAAAAGAGTAGGGTAGCGCTAGCCTCATTAATGCAGCGTTTTGAACATTGATAGTTTTTTCGTCATGTTAGTGGTGGAAGTGGTGTTACATCATGTACAGATTGCTCAACACGGCCCTATCCTAAAAAAAAAAATACAAAAGACCAGCTACTCATCTACCCAACCACCCCTCCAGCACCAGCACCGCCAACAATCTCCCCAAATACACTCACACCCTTCCTCCCCAACGCCGTCCCGACACCCACAGCTCCAGCCCCAACACTCCTCATTCTCTTAAACCCGCCCTTATCCTCCACACCACCCACCCCTATGATCACAATGCCTTTCAACTCCTCAGAGCCAGACCCATCCAGCAACCGCCGTAACGTAGCCACATTACCCAGCGCAAGAGGATGTAACGGCGCGCCCGCTAGACCGCCTATTCCGGTACCGTTTGCGGAGTTCAGGGCGGGTGTTGTACTTTCTCCATCTGAGAGGAGTAAAGAAGAGCCGAGTGTGTTTACAGCTGTGATGAAGGATATTGGTGTGGGTAGGTATACGGGTTTCATGCTGTTCTCCCCACTTTCCGCCAATACGCCTACTAAGCCCTCGAACTGCTCGCTGTATGTGTAAGGGGGGATTTTGATTCCAACGGGAATTTGCGTTACGCCTCCGCTTTTCGTCAAGCCAATGTCGATGGCGACTTTGAGCGCAGTCAGGTATTCGCGGAGAGCAGCGGGGTTGTACGCTGGCGGTGTTTTGCCAGGGATGTTGGGGCACGAGAGGTTGATTTCCATGGCTAGTGGCATGTTAACGGTAGACTGGTGGACGCAGATGAGGCTATAGCATTCCGCTATTTCTTCCGCGGATCCTGTTACAGACACGATTACTGGCTTGAAGGTCTTTCTTCCGTTTGGTGGGGTGGAGGGGATGGCATCACTAATCGTCTTTAGATATTCTAGATACTCGGATAAGGGGATTGGTGAGTATCCCAACGTATTCAAACTTCCCGTCGTATGCCCATCGCCGGCGAGGTCTTTGTTCGGCGTGCTGACACTGTGCGTGGAAGGATCGAAAAAGGTGAATTGATGGTGCGTGGGGTCGTGTGGAAAGCCTTTTAGGAGCGATGTGCGCGTTGTGATGGCGCCTGTATGTGGACTGTCGTAAAGTTCCTGGAGCTGTTCAACGGTTGTGCACCATGGGTTTGCGGAGTTGAGGAGAGGTGGGGTAATGGGTGGAAGGGGCATTGTGATGGGGATTCGTGAATGTGGTTTGGGTGGTGGTGGTGATATGGGGGATGAGAGAGGTGTATGAGGAAATGTGTCATCTTAGGGTTTTGGAGTGAAAGTGGGGTGGGATGATAAGCTTTCTCTTGTCTCGGAATTTTTGTAACTCTGGATAGGGCAGGTGATACGTGACTCATTCCAGAGTCAAGTCAATCTGGATAGGTTTCCTAGATAGGTAGGTCGATATCGTCGAAAACGTATCAAAGGCGAGCAGATCACACATCGAAAAACTTCTTATGATTCTTTACATTCATTCAGATTCTCCATGACTACTTGAACTATACACAGTACTCACTCGAACCCATCTCCACGACCCACTTAACCGAACAACACATCACCAAGACGAATGGAAACAGTCTTAGTCTGGATGTAGTTATCCAACGCCGCCTCACCCAACTCGCGGCCAATACCAGACTCCTTGTAACCACCGAATGGCAGCTGCCAGTGGAGAGTGTTGTAAGAGTTGACCCAGACAGTTCCAGCGCGGAGCGCGTTGGCAACCTCGATGGCAGTGGTGAGGTTGGAGGTGTGGACTGCGGCGGCAAGACCGTAGGTGGTGTTGTTACCGATCTTGATGACGTCGGCCTTTGTCTTGAACTTGGAGATTGTGCAGACGGGGCCGAAGATTTCTTCTTGTTGGATCTTCATGTCCTCGGTTACGTTGGAGAAGATGGTGGGCTCGATGAAGTAGCCCTTGTCGCCGTGGCGGTTGCCGCCGGTCTCGACGGTTGCGCCCGACTTCTTGCCCTCCTCGATGTAGCTAGAATTCATATTAGCATGAGCTTCAGTTTTGCAGGACATGGCATTGCTTACCCCATGATACGGTCGAATTGGAGCTTCGAAACCTGAGGTCCCTGGAAGGTGTCCTTGGCGAATGGGTCACCGACAGCGTTCTGGGCGGCCCTCTCCTTGAAGCGCGCGATGAACTTGTCGTAGATCTCTTCTTGAACGTAGATACGCGATCCAGCGCAGCAAGCCTGTCCGTGGTTGAAGTAGATACCGAAGTTGACCCAGTGAATAGCCTCATCGAGATCGGCGTCGGCGAAAACAATGTTGGGGCTCTTGCCTCCGAGCTCAAGTGTGACTTTCTTCAAGTTGGAGCCAGCAGCGGCCTTCATAATTTGACGACCGACGACGGTTGAACCAGTGAAGGCAACCTTGTCAACGTCCATGTGGGCGGAGATGGCGGCACCAGCGACCTTTCCGAAACCAGTAATGACGTTGATGACACCTGGTGGGAAACCGGCCTCCTGGATGAGCTTGCAGGCTACGTATGCGGAGAGAGGAGTCTGTTCAGCTGTCTTGATGACAACGGTGTTACCAGTGGCGATGGCGGGACCAATCTTCCATGACCACATGAGAAGAGGGAAGTTCCATGGGATGATTTGTCCGCAAACACCAATCTGAAGATGTTAGTCACAGGACTTGGAGTGGTTGAACATGAAACTTACAGGCTCCTTGCGGATGTAGTTGAAGCTGTCGGGTGCTGTGTCGACGACCTTGCCCTCAATCTTGTCGGCCCATCCTCCGTAGTACCTCAAGCAACCAGCGGCGGCGGGGAGATCGACGTTCCTGGCCATGCTGAAAGCCTTACCGTTGTCGAGAGCCTCGACTGAGGCGAGAAGGTCGGCATTCTTCTCAAAGAGGTCGGCGAGCTTGACAAGCAGCTTTCCTCGGTTCTCTGGTGTCTCCTTCCGCCATGGGCCGTTGAAGGCCTTGCGTGCGGCAGCGACAGCAATGTCAACATCCTTCTCGGTGGCCTCGGCAACATTGCAGATGACCTCCTCAGTGGAAGGGTTGATGACCTCAAAGGTCTTGCCGTCAACAGCCTTTACGAACTCATTGTTGATGAAGCTGTTAGCTGTCAGTACGGGCAATCCGAAGCATGACAAAGTCTCCGAAGAATATCGGAGATTGGATATCTAACTTACAGTCCGGTGGGCTGCTCGTACTCGCCCGTCTGGGGGGTTGATAGCTTTACAGATGTCATTGTGAAAACAAATTGGGGTATATGGACAAAACAAAGCTGTGAAGTGAGGGAGGGGTAGAGGCACCAGCAAATCCTTAAGTACTTTCAGGAGCTCCGCATGACGACACTAGAGGTTATCTCCACTCGAGACAGGACAACAGCACGATCGCCCAGACAGCCTCGGCCATCAGGAGCCAGTCTCAGGAAAGCGCTGCAGCCTATTGCGTGTCTCGACAATGCATGGCCGGGTGGCGCTTGATGCAACGGCGGAAGCTCTTGCCCCGCTTTCGTAGCCAGTGGTAAGCTACCCCTCCCCCGCAGTTCTGCTCTGGAAGTCGTCGAAGCCGCAGCTAACCTTGCTACACGCGGTACTGGACTCTCCAATTTGGAATAGACACCTATTGGCAACTCATGCGCATCCGCAAAAGGCATTTCTCCACTTGCGGCGCGTGGTCATCTCGATACAGCATCTTTCTGTAACGCATACCGCAGGACTAAGCTCGGAGCTCTAGACACGTATCCAAGCAAAGCATACCCACCATCGGAGCCACTGCGCTAAAGCCGAAGGGGCAGCCCTATGGACCATATCATCGTACCCCCAGCTAGCTCGGCCCTTTTTCGAGCGAGCACCGGTATGGCGAGGATAACACTGATCCACACCCCCGAGCTAGAGTAATCGCTTGATGCACGTGGGCGACCTGGATTGCAAACATTGAGAGCGCAAGATACTCAGCTCATCCGGTCCGTCAGCTGCATCGGATGAACGCTCCTTTCACCCAGCCAAATCCTAGTCAGAAGCTAGAGTAGCCGCGGGCCTCCACACCACCTAGTAAATCGCGGGGAAGGTGCGACAAAATTTGAGCTAATGACATTGGCGTGAGAACTTCGCACGAAGGGGTACTGCGGCGCGAATAGGAGCATTCAAGGACCGAATAGCTGTCAACCGGAGAGCATTACACATGAACAGATGGTGGTGCGATCCGGGCTGCTGGGAAGCGCCGACCTGGTCAGCACAAGTAGAGTTCACATTTTGTTGTTGCGGAGTACTCCGGGGAGGAAAGCACGGAGCGATTCCGCTGTACCGAGTCGAACTGTCTAGCAAGCTTTCTAAGCCTTGCTGATCTTCTATATGATCGTCTCTCTGAAGCATGTCATTGCCATCTTGGGTTCGTGCAAGCCCCAGTGTTGCCATGTTGCCACACTCTCGGAATGTGGCAGCTCTTCATTTTGGTAGGTTTCAGCCAGCACGATGGCTACGTCCCGTCCTCGATATCGAGAGAGTCGGGAGCAGGTCGGTGTATGTGGACATTCGAATAAGGATACTTCACAATGGATAAGTCGACGAGAGATAAGTTTTCATAATCATGTTTCCGATTCATAGCCATTCTGATTGAAGCTACCAAATACCCAGCGTGCAGTTTAGGAGCCGTGAATAAACGTCCATGAATAGTGTACAAGAGCCGAATTGTGTGCGGTGCTGACGTTCCGTTGGCAGCAGCAGAAGTTCGTGACAACGCATTTTCCGAAAAGATGACGCCTCCAAGAAAAGAAAGATTGAAGCAGACCGACTAGCAAAAGGGTCGAACCGATTCCGTTGGATGCTGGATTAAACCGTGACAAGTAAAGTGAGTGGAAAGCGTCTCGAAGCGAAAGGAGCTCAGAGCATCTCGTCGTCCATAGCAGTGTCACCGCCGGCGGTGATTTGTGCAACTTCAGCGCCACCGGCAGCGGCATTGGTCTCGCCACCAGGGAAGTAGTCAGCCATTTCGGCATCGAGCTCCTCGACGGTCTTCTTCTTGGGACGGGCCTCGCGACCACCACGACCTTTTCCTTTGCCTCGGGTCTGGCCACGTCCGCGTGCGGCACCGGGGGCAGCCTTCTCAGCGGTAGCAGGCTTGGGCTTATCCTTCTTCGGCTGACTGAAAGCTTGTTAGTTGCAGATTACACAGCGAGGAACCTTTGATACGTACGTTACGCGATCGGCGAGCGAAGATGGGCGAGTGGCGGCGGGAATGGCGGCGGCGCTGACGAGCATCTCGACGCGAACAGGGCGGCCGTCAATCTTGACGCCATCGAGGTGGGAGGTGGCCTTGGCGGCTTGGTCATGCTTGTTGAAGATGACGGTAGCGCTGCCAACGCTACGGCCCTGGGCATCGTACTGGAGAAGAACCTTCTTCGGGCGACCTACACCAACAGCATTCACGAAGTATTCCTATGAGGCGTATTAGTCGTCGTACCAGGGTAGCATTCACGCGCGCAAAGCAAGATCGACAATGAGGTTCCGGCGTCGGCGGTGGGTGGTCGTCGATTCCATATACTCGGTCAGAAGGTACCGCTCAGAAAGTGGGTGTCCTGGTCAGATTTCAATGACCGTAAGTTCCGTGAGACGAAGCATACTCAGCGCGAGAGCAGTTGTTGCGAGTAACGTATTGAAACGCTGCGAACCAATCTTTTAGTGTCTGCCCACACCCATCTGTAAGCCAAAAGGCTATCCGAACGGATTGGTTTCGCTTCTCGCTGCTCTGTATCGGGCTAGTGTTGCTGCAAGGCTACCGGGAATATCACCGGTGCGCTGCCGTCCTTGCTGACACAGTGAAGTGCAGCATATTGACTTGGATCACCCACTTTCGTCGCGGCGGTACCTCGGAATGTTCGCATGCTGCTAGTCTTCTTCCTGTCTTGTGTGCCCAACACAGATCTTGAAGTGACTTTGGGCAAGCTATGGCTCAACATCCATACCGGTGCGGAGTAGGAAGGCTCGGTTCGTCGGATCGAACTCGTTCATGCTTGCAAAAGCGAAGCTGCAGTAGGCTCAAAGACCTGCATCGGTCTTACATACCTGGAGTTGGACGTTGTCAATGTCCCGTGGCTGCGACATGTTAGCGGTGATTTATATCTGCTTGTCAGGCTGAACATACCAAGTTGGATACCATGATCTTTGTCTCGCCACCGAAAGAAGCGGCGGGAGCAGTGGGCGCAGGCTTTGATGGCTTGTTGCCTTGCTTGGTCGACTTGGCGACACCGCCTACAGGAGCGGCAGCGGTAACCGGTCGTCCAGCGCCAGAGCGGCGAGCGCCACGACCACGGCGGGAGGTCTTGGAAGCCTGGAGGATGTCGTCGAGGCTCTGCTCCATCTTGTTTGAAGACATGATGAGTGGTTGAGGGATGGTAATACTTGGGTAAGCGGGCGTTGATGGAAAGGCGCGCTCGTGTCGAGTGGGCGACGTAGAAGGAGATAAGTAGCGAAGGCTAAGAGTCTCTTTGATGGAGGCGCGACTGAACCGGTGAGGTTTTTGAGGACAAAGGGGCGCGCTGTTCGATAACAAGGCGCGTCGCAGGTGGTGAGACTCGTGAAAGGAGAGTCAGAGTGGGCTTGCGCGAATGTAGAGTGAGTTGCGCGGGTTGTGGTAACTGCTGTTGATGAAGAGCAGATGGGTGTGGGTGTATTATGTGGGAGGAGTGTGAGAGTGAGATGAAGAAAAGGGAGAGCGCGAGGCAGCAGTCAAGACAGAGGGACGCGCCAAGCCCCGACACTGCCACGCACTGCCGCCTGGTGATTGGCCGACCATGCACGGACGCACTTGCCCGCAGCTTCCATGGGAGTCGCGAATGGCGACAGCTCCTGCCATTCAGGCAGTAGGCGATGATAATGGAGCAATAGCAGTATGGCAGTCACTCCGGTGCGTATTGGCTCAGCCACATCTCGTCTCACAACATGTCCAGGCTAATGCGCGAACAGTGGCAGTTCAAGTTCTTCGACGTCTCGCAAGTCAAGCTCCCCGACGACGAGAGCTCCTTCCTGTCCGAGGTATGACGATACCTCCTCCGCGTGTGCATAGTCTCATAAATGCCATTAGATCGGGAACATCACTTGCATAGTATCTGGGTCAGAGAGCATCTTCCTCGGCAGCGCAGATGGCATCGTCCGCATCGTGTCGCAGGCCTTCAAGGTCGTGCGCGCATTCAAGGCCCATGACGCAGGCGCAATTACCCACATGAAGCAGGTCGAAGGCACCTCGCTTCTCGTTACGATTGCCGAAGACCTTTCTGGCGAGCCAGTACTCAAAGTATGGGCTCTGGACAAACTGGAAAAGAAGACGGGCATTCCGCGATGTCAGAGCACTCTCACCGTTCACAACGGGCGCAAGCAGTTCCCCATATCAGCTTTCGCAGCCCTCGACGACCTATCACAACTTGCAGTTGGATTCGCCAACGGTGCCGTTACTGTCGTTCGAGGTGACCTCATACACGACCGCGGCGCGCGACAACGGACGGTATTCGAGTCGGAAGAGCCCATCACAGGCATCGAGTTTAGAGAAGGGAGCATCACGACCTTGTATATCGCAACGACCGGACGTATAATGACACTTGTAATATCTGGAAGGGGGCAAGGACAGCCGGCCAAATCGCTTGACGAGTATGGCTGCGGTGTGGGTTGCATGGCAGTGGATAAGGCGTCGCGGGATGTTGTCGTCGCACGAAACGATGCCATATACTACTACGGTCAGCACGGCCGCGGACCACCGTACACATATGAGGGTGAGAAGAAGATGATATCCGTATTCAAGGACTATGTCGCGATAGTCGCACCCCCCAAATCAAATGCGATGCCTCGGTCGAATCCTCTCCGTGCTTTCGGCGTCGGTGCCGCCGACGACGTCTTCAACACTTCGAGCTTCACCCTGCTCAACACAGAGCTGAGGTTCGTCGCACATCAGGAACAGTTGACTTCGCAAGTGAAGGCCGTCATATCCGAATGGGGCGACCTATTCGTCTTCACGATCGACGGCAAGATCTTCAGATACCATGAGAAGCCCTTCGCTCAGAAACTCGACATACTCTACCAGCGCAATCTATATGTTTTGGCCATCAATTTGGCCCAGAAGGCCGGCTTAGACTCGTCACAACAGAACATCATCCTTCGGAAGTTCGGTGATTACTTGTATTCGAAGCAAGATTACGATACAGCTATGCAGCAGTATCTGAAGGCTATCGATAACACAGAGCCATCTCAGGTCATCCGAAAGGTATGCAATGATTCCATCGCGATACGATTAATGCTAACATCATGCAGTTCCTTGATACGCAACGGATACATAACTTGATTGAGTACCTTGAGGAGCTCCACGACCATCACAAGGCCACATCAGATCATACAACGCTCCTGTTAAACTGCTATGCCAAGTTGAAGGATGTGGAGAAGCTTGAAGAGTTTATCAAGTCACCGGACGATCTGAAGTTCGACCTCGATACCGCCATTTTGATGTGTCGACAGGGCGGTTACTACGACCAAGCGGCCTTCCTTGCTCGGAAACACGGTGAGCACGAGTTAGTCGTCGATGTACTGATCGAAGATTCGAAACGATACGCTGAAGCTCTTGCCTACATATGGCGATTGGAGCCCGAGGTGGCTTACTTCAACCTCATGAAGTACGCGACAGTACTGCTGCAGCACCTTCCCAAGGATACGACGCAATTGTTCATCGACTATTACACCGGAACATTCCGACCCAAGCAGGATGCTATAGTCATACCCAATACGCCTGCAACAGGAGGAGGCGGTGGTATGAGTATGGGTCTCGGAGTCGCTTCTAGCGCTGTACAAAACCTTGCTGCACTACTTCCGCTGCCATATATGAACACCAACGCATTGGCATCGCCTCCAAGTGGTGAACAGAAGAGTACCATGAGCCAAGCCCAGATCGTTGAGACGACCTCAGATGAGCCCGCTCCAGAGTACAAAGTACCGAAACCGCGGACTGCGTTCTCCGCATTCGTTGACCACCCTCAAGAGCTCATAGTCTTCCTCGAGGCCTGCATCGCATCCGATGATCTGCGCGAAGATGACAAGGTCGACCTTTACACAACCCTGTTCGAGATGTACCTCCACACTGCCTCGTCGAAGAAGGACGGCGAGCGACAAGAGTGGGAGAATAAAGCAAAGAAGCTTGTCGAAGGCAAGGACATACCCATAGACACGTCCAACGTACTGCTACTCTCCCATCTGTCCAACTTCCGCGATGGCGCGATCCTTGTTCGCGAACAGCAAGGCCTCCACTTCGACATCTTCCGCTCATACACGGCCGCCAACGACACGCAAGGCGCCATACGCGCACTCCGCAAGTACGGTCCCCTAGAACCAGCACTTTACCCCGCGGCGCTCGCCTACTTCACCTCCACGCCCTCCATCCTCGCTGAAGCCGGCGACGAACTAGACTTGGTCCTCAAAAAAATTGACGAAGACGGCCTCATGGCGCCCCTTCAAGTAATCCAAACACTTTCCACTAACGGTGTCGCAACGATGGGCATGATAAAAGCCTACCTCAGCACCACCATCGAGCGCGAGCGCGCCGAAATCGCCTCTAATCGGCGCAACATCGAGACCTTCCGCGCCGATACCTCAACCAAGAGAACCGAGCTGGAAAACCTCAACACCAAGCCCGCGGTCTTTCAAAACTCACGCTGTCAGGTTTGCATGAAGAGTCTCGAGTTGCCCGTTGTGCACTTCTTGTGTAAGCATAGTTATCACCAGAGTTGTTTGAGTACAGATGAGGATGTGCATGATGCCGAGGTGGAGTGTCCGATTTGTAGTTCGAGTAATGCGACGGTCAAGGCGATTAGGAGAGCGCAGGTGGAGAGTGCGGAGAGGCATGATCTTTTCCAGGATGCGCTTAAGAGGGGGAGGGATGGGTTTGCGGTTATTAGTGAGTGGTTTGGGAGAGGCGTTATGGGGGTTGGCGGTGCGGACTAGGGGCCTGGGTATGTACAGAATTAGTATCAACGCGGGACAGACGGAGAAACTATCAGATGTTTGGGAGTTAGTATACATGTGAGCTAGACTGAGTTTACTCTGCAACCGATCTGATGTAGATATTAAACGCCTTCCGCGGATGCGGCTCGATGCCTGTGCCACGTTGGCGACCGGCCCGCGCCCGTGTCAGTGGATCCATTACTAGGTATCCCCATCGCCATCTCACCATCCCACGAGGCGCTCTTCATCACCTTATCAACACCGTTTGCCAGCATCAAAAGGAAATGACGCAAAATTTCCCTTCATTACTGGAGAGATCAGTTCGTGCCGCTTCAAACGCAAGATCAGACACCGTACCCTCGGCAATGCCGGCGAGGACCCCTGGCATGTGGGCTTAATACCCGCCAGAATCCCCCGGCATCCACACGTAAAAGAGTATTGTTGAGTGCGCAAGGAAAGTGATATTCCATCTCCTCTCGCCCAAGCTTCCGGAGCTGCGTCTATTCACGTTCAAGTAGCAGCGCTATGGATCCCACGCAACTCCGCTCTCAAATCTACATTGTGGCACAGCTGCATATCGCAGAGTTCCATGCAGGAGAATGCAAGAAGATGGATCAGTGCAGCGGCGAAGATATTAAAAGCGATGGGGATATATAAGGTAGGATCGTTGTAGTGCCGTCTCGTCGAGACCTGAGTATTTTCGTGCTCATATCAATATCTGTTTCGGCTCCTACCTCGCGTCCTGGTATTTACAGACACAGAACATCTTCCTCGCCATTTGGAGATGAAATTGTTCAGTATATCGTCCTTGGCGCTTGCCAGCAGCGTCACCGCCATTAAAGTTACCGAGCACGACAAGCTGGCCGTACTTGGATTAGAAAACCTCCAGCGTTATGTAGCCGAGAACGGCTCTCCCAACCCAGGTACATGTACTCCGGAGACGACGTCAGTACGAAAAGAGTAGTATGTAACTAGGAATACAAAGATATCTTTGCAAGTCTAACATTGATCCAGGTCAAAGCTATCGAAGCCTAAGAGGCAGAAATATATTGATGCTATCAAGTGTCTGCACTCCAAGCCTGGTCTTACACCAGCCTCTGAACTGAGAGACCAATAGTGTATACCTCCAGGTTGCGTTTTCATGTTGGCGATTTGACTTCGTCGACTGATTGTACTGTATCATAGTGTCCTGCAACAAATCTCGAAGACTCTCGTCACGACATCTGACTAGGAATGAAACTGCTTTTAATCTTAGTTAAACGAGCACTAATGCGAACTCCTACTAAACTACATATAAAACGGGGTATAACTTCTAAAATTGTCAACAAACACGAACTCCGATACCACAATGCAATCACCTCCCCACAGTCCACCTAGCCCCCTCCATCCACAATAGCGCCACTACGCCGCCCCACCAACAGCAATCTTCTTCTTCACAGCCCTCATCTCCCTAACTGTGCCCTCCTTTCCCAACCCCCTCCCCACCTCAACGACAATCATCCTAACAAAATCCTTGCTGAGCCAATAACTGCTATGCGCGCCTAGCATAGTCAAGTACTGAATCTCAAGTGGCCCACCACCGTACTTCATGTAGTAGTCGATCTGGCCATTATCATTGAGCAGATAGGCTCTTTTCTCAGCGATTTCCTCGCGGGTGAAATTGTGCGTTTCGAGTTCGACGTTGCTAGGTAGACGGATAGTGGTGGGCCTGTCGTTTGCGGCGTTGTTGGCGGAGGAGGTGGACGATCGGAAGGGATTGAGCGCGGCGAAATAGGATGTCGAGGCTGATGGTATCGTAGTTTGTTTTAGCATCGAGGCGTAGACTACGTCTACCGTGGGGTTTATCCGGCATGCGACGGGATCGTATGGGTTGATGATGTTGTAGATATTGTCGACGGCCAGGCAGCCATATGTGCCTTGCTCACCGGCGATACCGGGAGCGGCGTATGAGTCGGCACCCGGCTTCTCTTTGTCGCGACGGGGTAGTAGGTTTGCGTTTTTCATGAGGAGAAAGAGGCCAACGGGGCTACCGCAGACGAAGAGGTCAGTTGTGTTGAATATGAACTGGTCTTGGGGCAGGTCGGCCTCGGGAAACGATGGGTCGGTAAATTGCGGATCGACATAGGTCGGCTGTTGGCTTAAGATATCGATGGCCATTACTGAGCCGAGCGAATGAGCGACCAGGTGCACTCGCCCGTACTCTGCGAAACCAGGGTTGTTGTTGCACCAGAGGCGATAGATACGGTTTGCCTCTGTTATGCAAGCTGATATCATCTTGGGGTTGTGCATCGGCGAGAGGTAGTATGGAATATCGAGCATGACATCGCTAACGATACCACGTACGGATGGCAGCGTATCGGGTGTTATGTCTTTAAGTGTATATTTGTTCGCAGAAGGGTCCTCGAGCTCGGGGGTTTCGGTGTTATCGACGTCGAGGGATACGCGGTGCCGCCAATTGACCTATCTTGTTTTAGTATGTTGATCAAGGATCACTGCGATGATGACTTACTGGCAGGCACATGACACCTCCCATATCTTTTCGCAGGTGCCGCTTGACATCCGGAGTTCCAAGCTCGACATTCATCTCTCTTCGAAAGGCGTTCATCGCGTGCGTGAAATGAAACGTCTCCATCCTTTCCGACAACTTCTGTCCAATACCGTGTATGACCAGCACCAAATCAGACACCTTGGGTCGTTCTGACTGCGCGAGCTCGGGGTCCGACTTCTGCCTTCGATACTGGGGCGCGCCGCCTTGTGATGACGAGACACCCTCGCGTGCTGCTTGTGCTTTAGGCGAATTTTTGTTAGGATGTAGCTTGTCCCAGACGGCCTGGTCAAAACCGCGTACTACGTGCACGCCGATCGCTCTGCCCTTGCGGATGTAGTTCGCCAATGGTCGTCGCCCGTAGTAGTCCGATGGCTGGAGTGCTGGCTTGAGGATGAAAGCTTCCTTATCATTAGAGTAAATCACACCCGCTTTCAGGTACAAGCGCTTCCTTCCGTCGGCACCGTACTCCAGATCTCCCGCTGCTTTGTGATCTGGCCCCTCTGGACCTGTGGAGATGTCGATCAAGTCGCAGGCATTCTCCACGGTTTCTTTGCGCTCCTTCTCGGGGTCATCATCCTCTTCGGGGAGGGTGCTTTGTACGAGACCTGCTGTTTGCATCATCTGTTGCGAAGTCGACGGCCTGCTCTCTGCTCTCCTCGGTCGCTCGGGCCAGAGGTGATGCAGTATCTTCATCTCGCCAAATGCACCGACTTCAACAGCACTGTTGAGCTCGTCCGTCCACGTCTGCGTCCAGGGTCTCAGTTCGATGTATCCAGCTTCGAGCATATTGGCGACTTCCACCTCGACAGGCATCATGCTGTCCTTGTAGAACCATGTTCCTCGCACTATCTGAGCGACGTCGCTAAGCGGTGACCAGTATATAGGCTCCATTCGTATTGACTCTGTGTCCATGACTACGTGATGCAGTCTCGAGACTCCCACGGGCACCTTTGCGGAAGGCCCTGGTTTTGGCTTGGAGGACCTTCGCGCAGGCGCCTTATCTTTCGCCGTCGACAGAGCAGGTTCCATGTCATCATCCCACTTGTAGCTGTCCACTTCGTGTATAGTCGGCCGATGACCTCCCTCCATAGGCGCAGGCTTCCACGACTTGGCCAGATTCCCTCTCGATGGGGCTCGGATGAAAGGCGTGCCGGTAGTCGCAGGCTCGAGGGGCGATATTGGGCCGGGATCGTAGGCCTTCAGCGAGCCAGACATGGACTGGCCATAGCTGCCACCACCAGAGCCGGGTGTCTTCTTGTCCACCAGCTCAGCAGACCTCGAGTACTGCCCTCTGCTTGATGACCGACCGGACGGAATGTCTCTTCCCTGGATCGAGCCTTCCTCGCTCGAAGCACTAGCGCCTCTCTTCCTCTTCAGCCGCTCCACCGCCGGGTTGGTCGGCGTCCCGCGTCCCGTCGCATCTTTCTCTCCAAACTCCTCGGTGTGCTTCAGAATCTTCTTCCGCAGCTCCAGCCACGACTCCTGAATAGCTTCATTGTCGTATTCAGAGAAAGGCCGCGGTGGTACTCTCTTTGCGGTCGAGGCGCCCGTGGGCGGCGGCGGGAGCGGCGACAGCGGGTCGTCTATAGCGAGCGGCGACGTGTAAAAGTAGCGAACGGGTATCGTGGGCGGCGCTTCGGTGTTGTGCAGTACCTCACGAACGTACTGGTTCGCGCGAGACGATAGTGTGGGCTCGTTGCCTGCCATGACGTCTGGCGTGGTTTGGTGTCGGGCGTGAGCTGCAACTTTCAAGAGAAGCAGTCGTGGAAGAATCGCATCATATCATGGTGCTAGCGTGTGTTCTTTCCCTCACGTGTTCATGTGAAGAAGACAGCTGGCGTGGAGGTGGCAGCCTAAGGATGGATGTTGTTCCTTGTTGTTCTAGGGCGGTATATTTCCGATCAGCATTCAGAGCACTGACGCAACCGCCGCGCTAAAAACGACGCGTGCCTCGACATGTGAACAGCCGTCCGTCAGCCGCCTCACCGACCAAACTTATACACAGAACATCCACATCTGCGCGAAATTGCGCCGAACCATTCGAAGTGGCATGTGCTCTAAATTGTGCATGCAAAGTTCATACCGTCGATATGCAATGTCAGCGATTCATCACCATCGGCCTACACCACACATCGTAACCATACCTAGATATTGAACATGGCACCACATAAATATTCTCAAGCAAACGTTCTCGGTGACTCTCTGAGCAAACCACAACATTCACACTACACCACCACCATCTCATCAACCACCACCATGACCATGTTATCAAGAAAGCTACGTAACCAGCGCCACACGCTGTGCATGTCTGTCCTCAAACCGCCATCATCTCCTTAACCCTTAGTAAGTGCCGTCCATTTAGATAATTCACCAAGAAATCTGGGTAACACGCTGTGTGTGTCTGCTCCAAAACCACCACCGCCACCATCTCCTGGGCCTCTCGTAGGCGTCGTCGACGAGCTCACCGGATTCTACGATGGCGAAATTGCAGCGTGGGCAGCCAAGGAAGGATGGCATGGCACAGTATACCAATTTCCGAGAACAGGAAGTGCATGCTCTTGCTAAGGATCCAAGGGTGGATTACAACGATCCTCGTATCACAAGCCCCCCGCTCAAAGATGGCGACAGTATTAAGTGTCGTATCACCGGCGCTGGTTTAAATGGTCTTCATTACGCAGGCCGGTTGATTGAAGCGGGTTTCAGCAGCAAAGATACAGTCCTTGTTGACGTTGCTAAGAGCTTTGGTAGTACCTGGTAAGATGCGTTCTCATTCCGTTTAATCTTAGTCGAACGCTAATCATAAAAGGTACTGGAATCGTTATCCGGGGCTTATGTGCGATGTTGAAGGTTACTGCTATCTTCTGTTTCTTGAAGAAACAGGATATATGCTAGAGTATAAGTACTTCTATAGTGCTGAGATCAGAAATCAGATTAAGCAAGCTGCGTCCCATCACGGAATGTCAGGTCAATTTTGTACAAAGATTGACCCCCAGATTTGGGATAACGACCGGAAACATTAAATTGTAAAGATAACACGTATTGTAGGCAGAACGCTAAAGTCAGCAAGCTTTACCGTAGACGCCTGTCGCCGCAGGATTTCTTGCCATTCCCAAGATCCCAAAGCTTCCTGGTTGGAAAGAATTTAGCGCACACAAGCACGCATTCCATACATCTCGTTAGGACTACAACTACACTAGCGGGTCTCAGGCAAAGCCAGCTCTGACTAGCCTAAAGGGAAAGCGTATTGCTATCGTTGGAACTAGCGCAACAGCTATCCAGGTTGTCCCTAAGTTAGCCAAATGGGCTGGTCATGTGTATGTCGTCCAGAGAACGCCCACGTACGTTAGATCACGCAACCAGAAATTAACTACAGCGAAGGAGTAGGGGATAATCGCAGCCGAGGAAGGGTGGCAGCGTAGGCGCAGGATCAATTTGAACGCATACATGTCCAACAGCACAAGTAGGCAAGGACCCGATTTGGTTCAAGATGGCTGGACTCAGTCTCGGGCCCTTTGCGGATTTCTCGGATCGCGAGACATGCCTGTCACTTCCGACCAGGTGCCAAACCATATGAAATTGACTACCCTCGCACAAAGTTCTTGCAGAAACACATAGAGAACGAAGTTAAGGACAAGGATACCGCAGAGAAGTTAAAGCCCTGGTACGGCAGCTGGTGCAAGCGTCCTGCATTCAACGACAAATATCTCCAGACCTTTAATAAACCAAACGTCACACTGATCAATACCAACGGAAGGGGTCTTGACAAGTTTCCAGAGAATGGCATCGTATTCGACAGTAGCGAGTATGAAGTCGATGTTATCGTCTTAGCTACCGGCTTCGTAATTACCAACTTCTTAGATCCTGCTAAGAAGATAGATGGCATCCTAAAGGGACAAAACGGCGTATCCGCCGCCGATCACTGGAAAGACAAGGATTGTAATGTTCTATTCGGCATAGCAATGCCCAAATTCCATACTCTCATGGGTCACCTGGGACGTGGAAGTGGACCCTCATATAACTTCACATCCATGCTTGATCTTGAGGCAAAATTGATTGCACACGTCATCAAGAAAGCCTATGAGCAAGCAAAGCCCAGTAAAGTTGTAGGACTAGCTTCTAGCTATCTAATAAATCGAAATTTACTTGATCTAGACCAGTATTCGTTGATATATCTGGCAGCCCATCAAAAAAATTCGGAGCAACCCATTTGCCAGCGTGAGAGGAAGACACAGAAGCTCCGCGCCTGCTTTCTGTAGCGGGAAGGCCAATGAATCGATGTAATTAGAAGGCCATTCTCATCTTAAGCTTATCTTCTCCCACAATCTCATCCTTCTTGCTCACCAGCTCCTCCATATCCCAAGTACAACTCACATACCTCCCCGCCAACCACTCCCTCCGCTCAGCACCCAACCAAGCAATCGTATCACCCGCAACCTCAGGTCGATCCGGAAACCTATTTCTCACTTCCTCAGGCGCCGTCTCCGTAATCTTGGTCTTGATTGCACCAGGGTTGACACAAAACGCCAGGAGGCCTTTATCGCCGTACTCCAGCTGTAAGGTTTCTGTCCATCTCAAGATAGCGAGTTTTGAGCTGCGGTAACTCCCGCTTCCAGGACGGGCGGTTAGGGCGCCGGAGGAGGCTACGTTGATCATCATGCATAGTCCGTTGTGTGTGGTGTATGTTGAGAGTTGTAAGGGGAGGAAGACACGTGCCATGTTGAACAGACCCTGGACGTTGACCTCGTGGCTTCGCCAGTACACATCTGCGTCTGTTTCGAGGAACGACACGTATGGTTCCATATGTGCTGCGTTGTTTACTACAACGTCAAAGCGCGCATCAAAAGCCTGCGACACGGTTTTATGCATGGCTTGGACGCTGTCTAGTTTTGATATGTCGACCGTGCAACATACCACGATAGGCTCGGCGCGTCCAGCTTGCGTTGCGGCTTGCTTCAACGTTGTGGACAACTCGTCTGATACGCCATGCAGATCAGCTAGTGCGATTGCAGTTGCTCCTGCGCGCGCAAACGCCATAGCTGTGGCATAACCGACTCCATCTTCCCATGCTGCGCCAGTGATCAAGACATGCTTGCTGGCTAGATCCAGTTTGGAGGGTGTTACGGTAACCACCGTGGTTCCCCTAACACCTGAACGCACAGATTTCGGGTGGCTCGCCAGTCCACCCGAAATCTGTTAATTGGCCAGCTAAGGCCTAAGCGCCGCGCACAGCCCTAGCTATATCTTTCACCACTTTGCATTCTATTCTGTTCCTTACGCAACGTCTTATATTACACTAGATATTATACGTAGCTACAATTAACGCTTCTTGTAAGCTCTTAAACACGTGCTTGTAGCGTTTTATAATATTACGTTGCGTTACACTACTATAACTACTTAAGGGCAACCTGACGCGTTGCAATTAATCCTAAATTAGCTAAATGCTATCTAAGCTGATTCCGCTGCATTAAAAGCTAGCAACAAAGTACTACTTGCTAATCTAGCTAAACAAGAAAACTAACACTCTTAACAGATTCTAGAGCTTCGCCAAGAGCTTAAGTCTATTAAGACTAGGTCTGCTTCTGCTGCTACCCTAGCTATTACTCAAACTAGCGCTGAGGGAGATTAAGTTTGTCTAGAAGAGCTATCTAGAATTAGCTTGAATCCTGCGACGCCGCCCAACGCGAACCTAAAGGACCTTCCCCGAACTAACTGTCTGCCTGACCCGCCTCTGTTCAATGGCTAACAAAAGGACCTCCCTGCCTTTGTCCATAAGCTTAGGTACAAGCTTAAGAGAAACGCAGACTAATACCCGAACAAAAGATCCCGCCTACTATACGCTCACTCTAGACTTGAGAAGAACGCAGTAGCTCTTATTGACCCGCTTATAGACAAGGATATCTATAATGTAGACTAGCTTGTTACCTTTCTTGAAGCTACCTACGGAGACCCAAACAAGAAGCTAACAGCTCTTAGTTGATTAAGCGGACTCCGTCAAGGAAAGCGCAGCTTTACCTTCTACTTCGCCAAATTCTAACAACTAGCTGCTAACACTAGGTTAAATAAGATTAGCCTAATTGCGTTCCTCCAGAACTCTCTATCCCACAAACTTCAACGTGTAATAGTTGAAGAAGCCTTGCCTAGCGACCTTAACAATTACGCTAACCTAATATCTATGTATGATAATAACCTCCGTTTCCTACTAGACCGCCCACAACGCTACCCTGTAACCCACCCTGACGCAATAGAGATAGACGCATTAGCATACGCCCCCGCTAGTTCCTCCGAACAACAGAAGAGGATTAAGGAAGGCTGCTGCTTTAAGTGCAACTAGAAAGGTCACATCTCTAAGGATTGCAGCGCTCCCCTACCTACTTAGCATATCTGATTCTATAGCGCGCGTGACCACGACTGTACCTAGTCTACTAGTTCTGTCTTGTTAGAATCCTCGCGACCTTCGCGATCCCGAGGACAACGTTCTTGTAACCGATCCCAGAAGGGAAAAGCCTCGTCCCGAGGATAAGTCGCTCCCTGGAACTGCGCACCTACCGAATCTCTGCTGAACTCTAGTCTGAATCTTAGACTAATACCTAGAAACGTTGTATTACAATACCTTGTACAGTTTAATAAGGCGGTGTTAAGAGTAACCTTAAAGCCTTAGTTGACACTAGAGCTACTGGTATTGGATACATTCACAGAGACCTCGCGCGCAACCTAAAACTATGTCAAGACCCGCTGCTCTACGTTATTTACCCGACTGGATTTACTAGAACTGTACTTGATGGTGGAGAAGTGTCTTACACTGTTACCCTAAAGCTACAACACAACAATTATAATAAATCTATACAACTCTATGTTACAAACACTAGCTGTTATAATTTAATACTTAGCTAACTCTAGATAAACAAGCACTGAGTAAACCTAGACTACGACAAGGAAAGACTAATCTTCACCACTTAATAATGTAAAGAACGTTGTCTTAGAACTACTAGAACTCCTGTTCTCTCTTCTAAAGTATAGTGGAGCAATAATAGGCATAATAAAGCCTACTCTTAAAACCTAAAACTTAAGCATGTGCTACAACAATAGCACAACTACTAGCTACCTAAGATAAAGCGCCAGTTGAACGAACTTGTACCTAAACCTATACCTAACCCTGATAGTGCCTAGCTAATAGACGAGTAGAACGACTTGTTAAAGTTGTAGCCAGAACTTAATATCTACTATATAGGTGCTGCTCTGTTTATAAGCCTAGCACGCAAAAGAGGCTATGAAATCTATACTGTTAGCATTGCCAACATTAACAAGGCACTAACTAAGAAGAAGCACACCGATCTACTTACGAAAGTCCCTTAGGAGTATTATAACCTAATAGACGTCTTTTTACAAGAAGAGTCTAATAAGCTGCCTATACAACGGCCTTACAACTACAAGATTAAACTAATACCTAGCAAACAGCACGGGTTTGGCCCACTATATAGTATGTCTTAGAACAAACTTAAAGTGTTGCGCAAGTACTTTAAAGATTACCTGTTGAAGGAATTCATTTGCGTAAGCTCCTCCCTAGTCGCCTCCCCTATTATCTTTGTTAAGAAACCTAGCAGCAGACTACGCTTCTGTGTTAATTACTGTGCCTTAAACGCCGCTACTGTTAAGAACTGTTACCTAATCCCGTTGATCCAAGAGACCTTAAGCTAACTAAGCAAGGCTAAGTATTACACAAAGCTTAATATTATTGCTGCCTTTAACTAATTGAGAATTGCTAAAGAAGACAAATGGCTAATAGCCTTCTGCACTTAATATAGGTTGTTCGAATACCTAGTAATGCCCTTTAGACTAGCTAATGCGCTGAGTATGTTCTAACACTTTGTGAACAATGTACTACGCCTGTTCCTAGACGTCTTCTGCACGGCCTACCTTGACAATATCCTAATTTATAGTAAGAATCTCTATAAACATAAGGAGTATGTACGATCTATTCTAAACGCTCTTCAAGAAGCTAGACTCTAACTAGACATAGACAAATGCGAGTTTTACTAGACTAAGGTAACTTACCTTAGCTACGTAGTTAGAGTAGATGGAATATAAATAGATCTGAAGAAGGTGCAAGCTATTGTAAATTGGGAGTACCTAAACAACGTTAAGAATATCAGAGCATTTCTAGGCTTCGCAAACTTCTACCAACAGTTTATAGACAGTTTCTCCTACCTAGCTGCTCCGCTAGTAGCGCTGACTAAGAAGGATACTAAGTTTCTCTTCAATAACAACTACTAGAAGGCTTTTAATGCTTTGAAGCATGCCTTCACTACTGCACTAATATTACGACACTTTGACCTAGACCTGCTAATTATTATTGAAGCCGACGCTTCCAACTATGTTATAGCAGGAGTGCTGTCCCAATCTGGACCTAACAGCGTTCTCTATCCAGTCGCGTACTACTCGAAAAGAATAAACCCCGCTGAGAACAACTACAAGATCTACAACAAGGAGCTACTTGCTATTGTTTGCTGTTTTGAACAGTAGAGACCAGAATTAGAAGGCGCTGCCTTCCCTATCAACGTGCTTAGCGACTATAAGAACCTATAGTACTTCGCCACTACAAAGCAACTAAGCCACTATTAAGCCCGCTAGTCTAAATACCTATTACAATTCTAGTTTACAATTACATACCGACCCGGCAAGCACGGTAAGAAGCCTAACGCTCTTACCTATCGCTCTCAGAACTAGCTTGCTTAGGAGGAAGCGAGACAAGCTTAGAAACAGACCCTACTGCGTCCTAACCTGTTTCGAGAACCCATAGCAATTAGACTAGTAGAGACAGATAGATCTATCCAGTAGATTATTGACGATAAGTACTATCCTACAGGCGATGGGCTACCTAAAGACCTATTTATTTAAGAAACACTGAAGCTGCTGCGCAACAGCGCATAACAGTCTAAGACAGTTACACTTAGTAACTGCAAAGACTGTAAGGGTCGCCTCTACTATCGCAACAAGTTAGTAATACCTAATAGCAACAAACTTAAGATTAAGATCCTGCGAACAGTCCACGATTCCCTATTAGGAGGCTACCCTAGCCGAGGGAAAACACTTAAACTAATCCAGCGGGAATACTACTAGCCCCAACTATTTAAGACTGTTCACCATTATGTTTCTTGCTGCTACGTCTACTAACGTTTGAAGGCTTCTCGTAAGAAGTACCACAGCCTGCTAAAGCCGCTACCTGTACCCAAACGATGTTGGGCAGACGTCTTTGTTAACTTTGTTGTTGACCTGCTAGAATCCAAAGAATGCAAGAACATTATGGTTGTAGTAGACCGCCTATCTAAGTACTAATACATAATCCCCTACAATAAGATAGAGGCTTCCAACGTAGCACGTATGTTTCTGCGCTACGTCTAGTGTAATTATAGCCTCCCTAATACAATAGTCTTAGACTGTAGCAGACAGTTTGTATCTACTTTCCATAATAAGCTGTGTGCTCAACTAAGAATAGACCCGCGCTTCTTAACTAGCTACCATCCTAAGACAGATAAACAAACAGAGAACACTAACGCTACAATAGAACAAGTCCTACGCGCGTATACGAACTATTAATAAGACAATTAGGTTTAATAGCTCCCTACCGCTTAGTTTGAAGCTAATAATACCGTCTCTAAGTCTACTAGAGTAACCCCAATAATGGCCTGCTACGGTTAGAATCCCCGAATGGGCTTCGAGCCGCCTACTAACAAGACACGTTCTGCCTACTAAGCTCTCTAAGCTTGTGAGGTAAACGCGATAGTAGATAAGATGCGCGATATTACTAAGTTCATCCGTAAAGAAATGATATAGGCTTAAGCTCTATAGCAAGAGTACGCGAACTGCAAACGCCTACCTGCGCTAACATACGAAATTAGCGACGAGGTATAGTTAGACGCGCGTAACATCTGAACGCAACAGGTATCTAAGAAGCTTAATTGGAAGAATCTAGGCCCGTACTAAGTAGCTAAAAAGATCTCTTCCTACGCGTACTGTCTTGAACTGCCCAATTCTATAAAGATACACCTAGTATTTCATGTGTTCTTACTCCGGCCTGCTGCGCCAAAACAGAAGTACCTGCCAGGACAACTTGTTCTACCGCCCGAACCTGTTGTTGTAGACAACGAAGAAGAATACTTTGTAGAAAGTATCAAAGACCTCCATTACAATAAGCGTTGTAGACGACATGAATACTACGTTAAATAGACAGGCTATGACGAGATGACCTGGGAACCCGCTGCAGACCTAAAGAATAACGCAGCCGTAGCTGGTTTCCATAAGAGGTTTTCTGACATCTTAGAGCCACCCGAAGTAATGCAAGAGTAAGAGACATAATCTCTACTCACAGGAGCTTAAGAGTAAGAGGGGGGTACTATTACGGTAACCACTGTGGTTCCCCTAACACCTGAACGCACAGATTTTGGGTGGCTCGCCAGTCCACCTAAAATCTGTTAATTAGCCAGCTAAGGCCTAAGCGCCGCGCACGGCCCTAGCTATATCTTTCACTACTTTGTGTCACAAGACGCTACGAGCACGTGTTTAAGAGCTTACAAGAAGCGTTAATTGTAGCTACGTATAATATCTAGTGTAATACAAGACGTTGCGTAAGGAACAGAACAGAATGCAAAGCGGTGAAAGATATAGCTAGGGCCGTGCGCGGCGCTCAGGCCTTAGCTGGCCAATTAACAGATTTCGGGTGGACTGGCGAGCCACCCGAAATCTGTGCGTTCAGGTGTTAGGGGAACCACGGTG